TTGATGAAATTCTACTTATAATGCTGAATTTTTGTAATTTGAACTAAATAATTATTTTGGTTTCTATTAATTTCTTAGAGTATGTTAACTCTTAATATTTCATTTTGAGAAAAAAAGTTACATTTAGAAATGTAAATTGTTAGTCAACAAATGGTCAACCAGAAGTGGAACATGCTGATAGAATTTGGGAGCTAACTTAAAACTTTAAAAAAATTAGAAGTTTAAATTAAAATTTTGAAAATTTCAATTTACATTTTTTCAAAATATTGATGACAAATTAATTTTTTTTTTAAATTTGAGAAGTTTAATAAGATTTTTTAAAAATTATGGAAGGGGTTTAATTAAGAACATTCAAAAATTTTAGAGCGTAATCTGAATTTCTAAAAATTATGTGAGGCTAAATTATTATTTTTTTTAAATAATGGTCTAAATTGAATTTTTCAAATTTTTGGCATGCCATGGCTCCAATGTGTCGCCACTTATTTCCCCCAGTGCGATCAACATTCTAAAATTGAGACATTTTTACTATAAAATAAAATAGTAGATACCAAAAATACTTTAGAAATAAAAAAAATTAAAAATTAAAGTGACTATTTATTTAAAGAGTCTTTTTACTTTAAAATTAAAGGTTTGAGAGTAAAATATTTTAAAAATAAAAAAATAATATAATAATATAATCAAACATTAAAAATATTTTTTTACATATGCTTAATTAATTCAGCATATATTAACTATGAGTTGATTTAGACTAATAAAATTCACATATAAGACGATAATTAACTGTAGATGATGAAATTGAAGTATATGATTAAATTAAATGCGTGAAAAACGTCAATGAAGAGGCTGGAGCCCTGCAAAAAAGTCTAAAAGCCGCCAGGTCACTTTGCCAAAATTTAATGCAAAAGTTAGGTGCAAAATTTGATTGGATTGGAAAAGTAAATTTTTTAATTTCGAGTAAACTCGAATTATCAATTTAATTTTTAAGTTTAACTCAAGCTAATTTTTGAAATTTTGAGTTATTCAAAAAAATTTAATTTTGATTAAGTATTTTGATAATTTTATAATTTAGTTTCTGATTTCATTATTTATTCAAATTTTTTTCATTTTAAATCAATTTTTTATTAAATTTGAATCACATACTCCTAAATCATTGTAGAATACATATGTACTTTCAATTTATCTTTCTTATAACAAGTTTTCTATTTTTCAATTTAGTCCCTCAATTTTCATATATTTTTTATTTCTTTAATTCATCATGTATTTTAAGTTCATTTTTCTCCAAATTTGAACACGTGCTCATATACCACTATAAAATATCTATGTTCAATTCTTTTTTTTTACTAAAAATTGACTCTCTTCTTTTATTTAGTCTCTTAACTTTCATTTTACTCTCTCGTCAATATTTTTACCCTCAAAATATTTTCTTTAAAATATAATATTATGAATATATTTTATAAATTTGGATATCTTACATGGTTAGAGAAAGTCGAAAAATTAGAATCAATCTTTATCATATACTATAAATAATTATAAAAATTAATATAGAAACTCGAATAACTCAACTCGAAAAAATTTCAAGTTAAGTTCAAGTTATAAAATGCGACTCGTCAACTTGAATAACTCAAAATTTTTTGAATCAACTCGATCGAGTGCTCACCCCTAGTGCCTATATTCAAAGTTTTCAAAGCAATTAAATCCACGGGGAAATAAAAAAATGTATTATTAATAGCAATAAAATTTTCCGTTTGCATTAAGACAATTATATTCTTCATAATAAAATACGATTAATAGGATAAGGTGCAAAGGGTGGTATTTGATATGAAGCCTCCCAAAGCTCTGGAACAAGGGGTTGGATGGCAATAAAGATTGACATTGAGAAAGTCTATGACCATTTAGAGTAGAACTTCATTGAGGACACATTGATTTATATTAAAATTCCAATTGATCTGATTTGTTTAATCGTGGAGTCTATCATCAGTGTTTCGTCGCTAGTACTTTGAAATGGTGAAATTACGGAGCAGTTTAAATCTACACGTGATATTTGTCAAGGTTATCTGTTATCTCCGTATATCTTTGTTCTGTATATGGAACGACTCTCTCATATTATTAATGATCGTATTGCCTTAGGATTATGACCTGAGATCCATCTGAGTAGATATGGTCTTGGATTGTCTCATCTCTTTTTTACAGATGATCTCGTTCTTTTATGTGAGTTTTCTATTAATCAAAATAGGATTATCAGTGGGGTAATTCAATGGAAATTGAAAAGTTGATACGAAGTTTTCAATGGGGTAATTCATATGAGCGACATGGTTTGGTCTTCAAGTATTCCACAACACATACGAGTTTTTATGTGGCTTGCATTGAGAGGTAAACTCCTCACCAACGTCGAGAGGGTACGGCGTCACATGACACTTGATAATTGATGCAAACTAGGTTTATTATTTTTCTTATTAAATTATGTCATTTTGAATTCGAGTTAAACTTTAATATTTTGATTTTGTTCCTCCATTTTCTATGATTAATTATACTTTGCCCCCCTTATTTTCTATAGTTAATTATACTTTATTCCCTTAAACTGGTATCCTGACTCCGTCCCTGATTACAAATATAAAGATTATCAAATTAATCGGAGTTTATTGAATCATTGATTAAATTAAACGTAATATACGAGGAGTAAACACTCGTTAAAATTAAATTTTATCCAAAATAAAATTTTAAATTTTATTAAACCAAAATTTAAACCGTGGAGTTGAAAGTATTGTCATAAAGTTCAAGGATCGTTTTCAAAAGGAAATGATTTATATCATTACAATTATTTAAATATTTTTTGTTAAGACTTTTTTATATATAACATATTGTTCTTTTGTTTTAAATTTTATATATATTTAAAATATTTTATTTTTATTATTTAATTTTTAAACCTTAAAAATGTTTTTATTAGTTTCTATTTATCTTAAATTACCCATCATAAAATTTAAATAACAATTTTTATTATTATGCTAAAATTAAATAAAATAAATAAATCGACAAATTTCAATATATATTAAATTGCATTTATACACATCCTGAATTAAATTTTCATTTTAATTATTTAAATATATAAATAATAAATATATTATTAATATTTTAAAATAAAAATATTTATTTCAAAAGTAAAATTTTGAATAGATAAAGTATGATAACACTTATATTCATCTTCAATTATATTCTATATATAATTTAAACTGTTATTTATTATCATTATATTACAATTAAATAATTTTTAATAGTTAAAGTCAAATAAGATATTAAATTACACTTTATATATCTTTAATTACTCTTTAAAAACTTTCATATATTTTCATTCTAATTTTAATTTAAACTACTAAAACAGTCAAACTTATATATAAAAAAATTTTCTTATTATATATTTTTCTACTTGAACGAAAGAAAATAATTTTATTATTATATTACAACTAAATATAAACTTCGAATATATAAAATTTAATAAAATATTGAATTATACTTTATATTCATATTAAATTATAATAATCTATATTTAAACTATTCAAGTTTATTGATAAACAACACGAACCAAGCTACCTTTGCTGTTAAAGGGATGATTGTTATCCCTAGAAGTTTCGGGTTCAAGCACATTGTATGCAAAGGTATTTGAGAGTTCAACGTCAAATGATCAAGAGTCTTTCAAACTTATATTACTTTGTAATCACCCTGCAATAAATATTAAATTATATTGTATATTATTTTATATTTTATATAATTTTATTACTTACATTTGAGATTCATAATTCTACTTATAATATTATTTTCAAGATTCCAAAATAAATTCTCTCATTAGGTGTGTAATATATCATATAAGTATATATACATATGAGGTGAATACAATGTAGTATTTGTTTAAATACTTTCAATCATTTAACAATGAACATTCATACCCATGTATATACGGTGCTCGAACCTGAGACCTCAAAAGATAACAATAAATCCCTTAATCATTGATATTACTTGGTTCGTGTGTTATAATTGTACTTTTAATAATGTTTCTTTTTCTAACATTTAAATTTATTTTTTTAGAAATAAAATATATCCTACAATTATATTCAATATTTATACCTGTTTTATAATTTTGGGTAAAGCATACAAATGATCTATCAACTATAGGGCGTTATTTTGTTGAGTCCATCAATTATTAAAAGTTACAAAATGATCCCCAATTATAGAACATTATTTTGTTGAGTCCACTGACTATTAAAAGTTATAAAATGGTCACTTGACTATTCATATGTTCCAAACTCTATTTTTTCGTTAAAAAGTTGACGGACTTCTGAGCTAGACGTTAATATGCTGACTGTGATATAATAAAATCATATTTTAATAATGTCTACTCACACCGTCATCTCTTTAAAGCAATGTCTTACCGACATAATGTTTCAAGCATTGGCTCGACGACATAATGTTAACAGAGAGTCAATTCACAAAAAATAGTTCAAACTATTCTTGGATCATATTTTATCATATTTCAATCAACATGTTAACGTCCAGCTTAGACAACCTCTAATTCTTTAATAGAAAAGAACGAGTTTGAAACATATAAATAGTCGAATGATCATTTTATAAATTTTAATAGTCAGAGACTCAATAAAATAATACGACATATTTAAAGACTATTCTATAATTTTTAATAATCAGTAGATTCAACAAATTAACACCATGTAGGACGATGAACTTTGTGTACTGTAGACGCTCAATTTGTCCGGGGTGTTATTCGTGTTTAATCGGGTTTTATTATTGTTTTTATTGCAATTTCGGTTATTAGCATAAATTTGGTATTATGTAGTTATATATATATATATACGGATAAGTAATTAAATAGTTAAATAATTGAATAATTAAATATATAAAATATGCCCTAAATATTGCCATTTTTGTTACAGGCCGAACCAAATAATTAAAATACAACAGGCTCAAGCCCAAAGTAGCAGCCCATTTGAGGATACCCTAGACCCGTTAGGGTTTCCTGTCACCATCTCCATGCGCAGCTGAGCCTCCACCGTTGGATCTGGCTTCATGATCCAACGACTCTCAATCCTCCCAGAAGCCTCCACCGTTAGATCGGAGGTGATCCAACGGCTCCTAACGCACTCGGAACTCCAAGACAGCACGAACCAACCGGGTGCTACCCACGTGAAGTCTCTCGGGACTGTTCCCCATCGCCTGTGCCCAGGCTGCTCGCGCCCGTGACTTGCTCGCTCCAGAGCCCTGCAAACACACCAAACGAGAACAGAAACAGAAAAGAAGAAAACTGGAAAGAAATCTATAAACTAGAAATATAAAGGAAAGGAAGGGGGTAAGGGAGAGCCCTCGGTCATCGGCAAGGGAGAGGAACAAAAAAAAGGGAAACACCAATCCCTCAGTCATAAGAAAACAACAGAGAATACAACCCAAAAAGAACACAAAAAAAATGAAATACCCAGCAACCAGCAACCATAGAACACAAACCCAAGGCAAGACACTTACCCTTTCGATCCAGTAACTTTCGTCACTAGAAATCCACACCCCGTCTGCGATAAGGTAAAACCTTTTGCTTCCCGTTCATTTGGAGTCGTGCATGTCGGTTTTAGGTCTCGAGCTTTAGGGATTTGGAGGGTTCGGTGTAGATTTGGTCATATGTTGGCCGGGTAGTTGGATGGTGGCTCTCATCGGAGTCTTTTGGGGAAGAAAAAAGGTCGCGATGGCCGTGGTTTTTGTAGGTTTACTAGAGGGTGAAGCCGGTTGGGTTTTCAAGTTTAGTTTGGGTTTAGGTTGCCGGTTTAGGTTGGTACTTGAAGGGGTTCTCGTCGGGGTCGTTTGGAGGTAGCAACCACGGCGGTTGCTACGGCAGATACCAGGGAGGTCTTGGGCTTCGTCGAGGGTTAGGAGAGAGTTTGAGGGAGAGAAGTTGAGAACGGCGGGGGGGGGGGATAAGTTTGCTAAAATGAAACTAAAGGGAAAATGAAAATTAGGTTAAAAATAAACCAAAGGCACCTAATATGTTCAGCTTCCAAAACGACGCCGTTTGAACCCGAGCCTAGGAGAGGTTTAACCACGTCGCGGTCCCTGCAGTTCTCAACTGTTTGTTTTAATCCCCGCTTTGATGTTGTGGAAATCTTAAATTGGGCTCTCAATCTTTATGTTTGCTACATTTTAGTACGAACCATGTTGTTTAAAGTTTTTCACAGTTTTATGTATTTGACTCTTAAATTTCAGGACATTTATTTTAGTCCATCTCGTTTGTTAATTCATATCTTGTGTTATTTATGTTTCTGGCCTGTTGTTTCGAGTTCTTTTATTTTAGCCCTAAATCTTTGTCGTTGTCCACATTTTTGTATCTTTTAGTTGAGTGTTTTTGTATGTTGCCCTTGTAATGAGAATAGTTTCATTTCAGCTCTTAGTATTCAGTACGGTATAATGCTAGCATTTCTACCTTAATTTGTATTTTATTCATAAGTAGGATATTAAAGTTTAATTTAAATATAATTATTTTCTGAAATCTTATAATTTGTTATGCTATGTTTTCGTTGGTTGTGTTTAGGCCATCTTTGTTCATTAAGTATAGCTATGTATAGAGTGTATATATATATATATATATATTTTAAATGTGTATGGGATCTTTATTGAGATATCACATTCCGAGCATGTTGTTAGCGTTCGTATATTTAGGTGTAGCTTTTATGCATGTTTAGCCTCATGTGCATGACCCGATCTAATCACATAATCGGAATTAAGGGTAATGCCCTTTTAATCTAAAATTATCAGAATGACTTTCCTTAACTTACAGGAAAGTTGTTTTGACGATTTTAAATTAAAATGGTATCCCGTCAGTAACGCCTAATTAAATTTGGATATATCATTGTAAAATTTGGGAGCGAAAGAAAAGGAAATATTCGACTATTTAAACTTTTCGAGAAAAGGTCGTTAGAACTGAACTAAAGATCTGGTCTCGATATTTTTAAATAATCGAATATTCTTTATCTTTCTAATGACTTGGTAATTTTAAATTAAATCTATTTTGTTGCTTTGAATGTTGCAAATTGGCATGTTTGTCGTTTAAAGGGATCATTAATCAAATCAAATTTGAACTTGTGAAATTCGTTGCAAAGAAATTAATTAATCGACTAGGTACCGATTTAGGGCGTTGTGGGGGTGCTAATCCTTCCCCACACGTAATCGACTCCCGAACTCAGATTTTGATAACGCAAACCTCTCCTTGTCGTTTTAATTAAAATTAATTTAAAATGACAAAATGTTTTTGGGTGCCCAATCACACCCTAATCAAAGATTGGTGGCGACTCCTCGAACCTTATATTTTTATCGTAAAGGAATTTCTAATTTTTCGAAACGAGAGGTTTTCTAAAATCGCACTATTTTTAATTAAAAATCCAATTGAAAAGATAATAATTAAAAATGACACGGTTTCAAAAATCTCGCCCCCCCCGCTCCGCGTAAAAATCGTTTCGACAGCTTGGCGACTCCGCTGGGGACTTTTTAGAGAGTCAGGCCTATAGTCGATTAATTAATTGTCTTTGCAAACGAAACTTGTAAGTTCATTCAAATTTGATTTTTGATCCCTGATTTGTTTTAAATTGTTGTTTGCATTTTAATTTGCGTTTTAATTAACAAATAAATAGTTGTACTAATGTGTGATCTACATGTTTTCAGTTTTCTGACTTTCACTTTAGTCTATTGTTTCTCTTGGATCGAGGCAAAGGATTATGAGTTTCCCCACTGTTGCTGTAAACCTTTAATATTTAGAGCATTCTAACTGTGCTCTGTCCCGTTAGGTAGGGGTGAAAGCTACGCTTACGTGAGAAAAATTACTTTTCTCCGCATGGGCTTTAGCTAGTAACCTCTGGGATACATGCCTTATGTTTACGAGTGAAACATTGAGTTTCCTCGCATGGACATAGGGAAATGTATCCTCTCGAAATTGAACTTGATCCGTTTTAAGCCTATAATGGGCGAGGATCGAGGGTCTGGCAAGCCCAAGGGGGCACCAGCAAAGGACAATTCGAGGACCCTTTTAGAAATACTGAAACTCTGCCCATCTTATGTTGAATCTCTGTCCGCAGGCACAAAGGGGAAACTCATTCTAACTTTTCCCTCGAATTTATTTTTTTTGGCAAAAAGTATGCGAGCTAGAGATCATGTGGTTAGGTTTATTTTTCAAACATGCATGTGAATTAGATACCATGCGGTTAGGTTTTTTTAGGAGTAACAAAACATGTGGGTAAATATCATGTCGGGTAGGATCTACTAAAGCATGATTCGGTAGACGCCATGTTGGGTAGATACCATGTGAATTAGGTTTAGGATGTATATATTTTCTATCTTCATGTTGTTTGACTATTCATTGTATATACTAACGCAGTTTTGTTTTTGTCTGTGTTTTATGTTTTATTTATTACCGTTGCATTGCATCATCATTCATGAAAAAAGGTGTTGATTCACAAGGTGGTCATAAAAGTAGAAGGCGGTCATAAAATGGACAAGAGCTTTCATAACAAGGAAGTGGATAACGCAGAAGTGAGGTCGTGGTCCGAGGAAACTCAGAGGAAGAAAGGCGACAATTTGACTGAAGATTACATATCAGTACTACCAGAGGTTGCTCCGGTCAGTCTAAAGCAAAACGATTTGCAAGAGTTACGCGAAATTTGGGAAAGTTGGAATTCTGATGTGAAATACTCTTTCTGGCAAAAGTATGGTGACATCGCCCTTCTGTTGTACGTGAAAGTAAACGAACCCCTAATCAAAGCTCTCGTCCAGTTTTGGAATCCCGCATATAGCTGCTTCACTTTCAACAAGGAAGACATGACTCCCACGTTAGAAGAATACACCTCCTTGTTTCATTTCGAGACGATACACTTGGACCGTATCTACTCAAAAGCCTCAAGGACACAATCCTTTAAGGGCAAGCTCGCAAGGATTACTGGGATGGGAGAGAAGTGGGTTGCTGATCGAATCCAAAAGAAGGGAGAGTCCGATTGCTTCCCTTGGTCATGCCTCAAGGAGCTTATCGTCAAGCATAGCGATATCGAGAAGAGCATGGAGATGTTCGCCTTGGGAATTTATGGTTTGATGATTTTCCCGAAAGTTCTTTATCACGTGGAAGCCGCAGTGGTCGATTTATTCGAGCGTTTGGAAAGGAAGGTAAACCCTGTTCCTGCGGTTTTAGCTGAAACATTCAGAGCACTTAGCAGTTGCAGAAGAGCTGAGAGTAGCCGCTTCACCGGGTGTGTCCAGCTGCTTACTGTTTGGATACGCAGTCACTTCTGGAAAATTGACCGAGAGTATAGTCGACGGTTTTCTACGGCCTATTCACCCTTAAAAGATTTCCTCACTAAAGAGTGGCCAGAGCATCTCACCAGGAAAGATTGGGTTTCACTCTTCAGAAATTTACAGGAACATGATATAGTGTGGCGTGTCCCCTGGTTAGCTTTTGTGGATGTGTTGTACAAATGCGGGGATTCCGATTGGGTAACCCTATTAGGGTTATGGGGTGGAGTAGGTTATGCGCCACTGATGGTACTAAGGCAATTTGGGGCACGCCAATTCGTCCCAGCTACATCCGGTCTGAAGGCATCTGAATTTGTGTACTGTGGAGATCATTACAAGAAGACTGCTCGTGCAATGTCAGAGGCGTGGAAGTCAACCTTTAGAACTGATTTCATAGCGGCTGAGGTCATGCTGACACCAGATTACGTGGCATGGAGGGCGGTGCGAAAGAATGATATCCTTCCGTTGGCGGATCGCGACCAAACAATTCCTTTGGAAGTACAGTTTAAATACGTACCGTCTAAGTTGGAGATACTGAAGAGTGAATTCGAAGCAGAAATCGCCAGGAAGGAAGCAGAGTGTGAGGCCCTTAGACAAAAGAATTTTATGTTGGACATCGATAGGGGATTCTATAATACACAGTTTGAGCTTATGCGCAAGAGAAAGGATGAAGTGGAGGCCAATCTCACTAGTTTACAGAGTGATTACCAAAAGATGAGTCGAGCACGGGCAATTACTGGCCTCGGGAGAACTTCAGAGCAGTGGCGGTTAGAGCTCCGGGCTGAGAGAGATCGTCGAGTTAGAGACGTCAGAGCCGAGAGAGAGCACCGAGTCAGAGAATTAGAGACAGAGAAGAAGAAAAGAAATCAAGAACTTGAGTCCGAGAGAAGGTCCTGGGTTAGGGCACTGAAGAGCGAAAGGACAGAGGCTAAAGAGTTAAGACAAAGGTACACCTTGAGCAAGAAGCGAGAAGAAGAATTGCATGCTAATATTGAAGAACTCAGAATGAAGGCAAATAACATGCAACTTGAACTTGAGGTTAGAAAGCAAAGAATCGACGAGCTCGAAACTGAGAAGAGGCAAAGCAAAGAAGAGCTAAAATTAGAAAGGCAACATCGGGAGAATGTGCTCCAAGGCAAACAGGATGAAGTATTCCTCTGGATACAGAGGTGCGGAGCAAAGAACGAACGGATAGAGCTACTCAATCAAGAGATGCACGAAATGGAATCAAGGCATGAGGAAGAGCTAGCTCGAGCCAAGGCAAAGAATGAAGAGTACAGTGCCTACGTTATGCAGCTTGAAAGTTCCTTATCTGCAGAAAACAGTCAGCGTTGCCAAGTGGATCAAAGGGTTAGCCTCGAGGAGAACGCTGCTTTGCAAAAGAAGATTCATGATTTAGAGGCTGCCTTACGAAGCTGCCAGACACAAATCGCTGGTCTCGAGCGCACCGTCCAAGGCACCAGACTGCAATGGCAAAACTCAAACGATCACTTTAGAGACTGGAAGACAAACGTGAATCACGTGATCCGAGAGACCATGAATCAGTTAAGTGGCGTTGCGAGGCAGTTGGGAGAGATGGACCTCCAAGCAAAAGTCATCCAGAGCTATACCAATCCAGCATCAGGTGTAGGAGAGAGGGTCGATTGGCTTGTCAGTCAGATAGTAGAGCTGAACATGAGAGCTAGGCCATTTCTGTAATGGACTTTTCTTGTAAAGATGATGCTTTTGTCCTAAATGAAAGTTGTTCTAAGACTGATCGCGTCTTATGAATCAATGCCTTTCTGCATGCATTTGCATTTTATGTGTAATTTAAGTTTTGTGTTGCATTTTTTATCACACTTTACATAATTTGCATTCATCCTCAAAGCATTAAAATTAACAATAAGGGATACATTACAGAATACTGGGAAATTTCAAGCATCACTATAACACAAGGAAAGCCATGGATGATAAGATTGCTCAAATAGAAAGAACTCAATTGCAGTTGCAAGATGATCTGAGAAAAATGCAAGAAGATATGCTTAAGGCTCAAGAGGATATGTTGTCTAAGTTGGCAAATATGCTGGGAGGGAGAAATCCAGAGCACGGAAAGGCCCATGAGCAAACAAGTGAAGAACCACTTTACCCCCCAGGGTTTACCCCGGTACAGTCTCCGAATATCCAAGGAACATCTGTCCATACCAAAGTACACATAAATCCTGACGGCATGGCAGTGAATCCGCAACCTGGATCTTGTTCGCATCCCGAAGAAAGCCCATATCACCAGGTCCCGGACCTTGATGAAGAAGCAAAGAAGAGCGAAAACAAGTTGTTGCAGGAGCAATATAAGCAGCTAGCAAATGAAGTACAAGCTATGAAAGAAGATACCAGCTTGTATGGTCTCGACGCTAAGGAACTGAGTTTAGTTCCTGATCTGGTCCTACCTCCCAAGTTCAAAACTCCTGATTTCGAGAAATACGACGGTACCCAATGCCCTTCTGCCCATATCACAATGTTCTGCAGGAAAATGACTGGTTACGTAGGGGACGACCAGCTGTTGATCCACTGTTTCCAGGAAAGCTTAGTAGGCTCAGCATTGCGATGGTATAATCAACTAAGGAGAGTTGATGTCAGGACATGGAAAGACCTGGCCAAATCTTTTCTCGACCAGTATAAACATGTGAAGGACGTCAGGCCTAACAGAATGGTGCTGCAAGCAATGGAGAAGAAGCATAGTGAAAGTTTCAGACAATATGCTCAGAGGTGGAGAGAGATAGCAGTACAAGTCCACCCACCGTTGGTAGAGGAAGAAACGAACCTACTTTTTGTTAATACCTTGAAGGCTCCATTTTTCTCACATTTTGTTGGTAATCCTTCTCGAAGTTTTGCTGATATAGTTACGGCGGGAGAAATGATTGAAATGGCGATCAAAAGCGGGAAGCTTGAGGGAGGAGATTCCAGCAAGAAACAACCGATGAGGAAGAAGGAAAACGAAGTCAACAAAATAAGGCAGTATGATTCCCATAATATCACAGTGTCCCGACCACAGGGAACGGTAGCATCACCCCAAATTGACAATAGGCAGGGGGCAAGAGATCCAAGGAGAGAGAGGCCTCAATTTGATCCGATTCCCATGACTTATAAGGAGTTATTCCACGAATTATATGATCGACATGTAGTCTCACCTTATCATGTGGACCCTATACAACCCCCGTATCCCAAGTGGTATGATGCTAGTGCTAAGTGCGAATACCATGCAGGGGTTTCCGGACATTCTATTGAAAATTGTCCCGCTTTCAAAAAGGTCGTCCAAGCTCTGAGAAGAAGAAACGTCATCAACTTTGGTGACGGTGAACAGCCAAACATAGCCCAGAATCCATTGCCAAACCATGCAGGAGCCGGGATTAATGCAGTCGCTGAAGAGAAAGGAAAAACGACTGTAAAAAATGTTAGGGAGGTGATGTCACCCATGTCTTGGGTGTGGCGCCAAATGGTCAAGGTAGGACTATTAAAGACTAATCTGCCACGTGAACGTTTCAATAACGAAGAGATGTGCCACTACCATAACTGCACAAAACACAGTATACAACAGTGTTCTGATTTCTTAGGGCTGGTACAAGAGATGATGGATAGTAAGGAAATCGAGTTCTTCAAAGAAGGGGCTGAGAAAGAAGAAGCGGAAGTTTACGCCTCTGAGGGATCATCCAAAGAGGTCTATAGTGCTAGTTGTCCCCTCGTCATTACTCCCAAGAATCGAGTGGCTGAGAAGGTAGCTCCAAAGGTGATTATTACACCTCCCTCTCCGTTCCTGTACAAAGACAATAAACAGGTACCCTGGAGATATACTTGTCGAATAGGAGAGGTGACAAAGCAACAGGAAGAGGTAGATGAAGTGGGACACATGACCAGGAGTGGTAGATGTTATCACAAAGAACCTGAGAAAAAGATTGCTGTCGAGAAAGGAAAAAGTATCGATGTGCAGATAAGAGAAGATGAACCCATCGTCAATGAGCCAGTAACGGAGAATGAAGCGATGGAATTTTTAAAATTTCTGAAACATAGTGAATACAGTATTGTTGAGCAATTGCACAAGCTGCCTGCCCGTATTTCTGTCCTATCACTTCTTCTGAGTTCAGAGGCTCATCGCAACGCCCTGTTAAAAGTTTTAAACCAAACATTTGTCCCGAAGGAGATACCCACAGAAAAGCTGGACCGACTAGTTGCCAACATCCAGGCCGATAATTTTTTATCTTTTTCTGAGGACGAGGTCCCCTCTGGGATGATTGGCAATCATAAGGCCCTACACATCACAGTTAGGTGCAAAGGGCATGTTCTATCCAGAGTACTGATAGATAACGGTTCGGCGTTAAATGTGATGCCCTTGGTGACCTTGAAAAAATTGCCAGTGGACAGCACCCTGATGAGAAGCTGTCAAAGTGTGGTTCGAGCTTTTGATGGAACGAAGAGAGAAGTTCTAGGCAAGATTGATATCCCTTTGACTATTGGCCCGGCGATATACGAAGTAGAGTTTCTTGTGATGGACATCATGCCTACATACAACTGTTTATTGGGAAGGCCCTGGATTCATCAGGCCGGTGCGGTTCCGTCAACGTTGCACCAAAAGATAAAATTTGCAATGGATGGGAGGCTTATATGCATTCATGCTGAGGAAGACATTATTGCTTCGGTTTCTACTACTGCTCCATACGTTGAAGTGGAAGAGCAAGCTGTTGAATGTTCTTTCAGATCGTTGGAATACGTCAATGCCATGTTTGTGGCAGAAGGAAAGAAGATCCCGAAGCCTAGATTGTCAAACTGCACCAAAATGGGGCTTAAGCTGACTCTTGGAAGAGGAGCAAAAACTGGCAAAGGGCTTGGACGTCGGTTGCAAGGACTGGTGAGCCCAATCTACCCTGTGACTAAAAGAGACAGGTTCGGTTTAGGGTATCAGCCAACTTTAAAAGAAAAAATGAGAAGCATCAAGAAGATTCAGGAATTGAGAAAGGCGAGATTGACTGGTGAGGACCCAAGTTGGGAACCCATGACATTCCCGCCATTGAGCAGCATTTTCGTATCAGGAGGATATATGTTTCAAGGGACTTTGGAAAGCAGTAAAGGGATAGTTGAGAATGCCTTGGAGGATTTGGGCATTAATGTCATAACCGATGAGGAGTTCAAAGAAATGAGAGCTATGGGCATCTACCCTGCGCCACTGGGCTTTGTGTTGAACAACTGGACTGCGGAGGAATTGCCTGTAGTTTACAAATCTTTTGCAGAGTAATACACTAGAACTCTTCCCTATTGTTCATACCCTGGGACAGTAGGTGATTTGATGTAAAGGGTTAAGTTGTGTGTTTTTACTTGCTTTCAATAAAAGATGTGTTTTGTTAATTCCCGAATGGCAAACACTTCCTCATGCATTTTGTTTGAATATACGCATATATTATTTCTTTCTATTTGTTTATATGGGAAAAGATTCTCCCATATGTATATATGTATAGGTATATATCTTCTTTTTCGTTATCCTTTCAGGAACTCAGATATCAATAATACGAATGCTAATGACTCTGACCCGGAGATTGATTTCGAGATGCCCATATGTCAAGGGGAAATCGAAGGTTGTGATGAGGATGAGGGATGTGAACCACCCTCAGAATTACTAAAGATGGTGGAACAGGAAGATGAGCAGATCCTGCCTCACGAAGAGCTTACAGAGATCTTGAACCTGGGTACAGATGAGGATAGAAAGGAAATAAAGATTGGTACCACCCTGTCTACTGAAGGGAGGCAAAGCTTGATAGAATTACTTCAAGAGTTCAAGGATGTATTTGCTTGGTCATACGAGGACATGCCAGGGCTGGATACAGAATTGGTTGTCCATAAGTTACCAATAAAGCCTGATTGTAAGCCCGTACAACAGAAACTGAGAAGAATGAGACCCGAGATGCTGCTCAAGATTAAAGAAGAAGTGAAGAAACAATTTGATGCTGGGTTTCTCACAGTGGCCAAATATCCTGAGTGGGTAGCAAATATTGTCCCAGTACCAAAGAAGGATGGGAAAGTACGAATGTGTGTCGACTATAGAGATCTGAATAGAGCTAGTCCAAAGGATAATTTTCCTTTGCCACATATAGACACGTTAGTGGACAATACTGCTGGAAATTCCTTATTCTCATTTATGGATGGTTTCTCCGGCTATAATCAAATTAAAATGTACCCTGAAGACATGGAGAAAACAACGTTTATCACTATGTGGGGGACGTTTTGCTATAAAGTCATGCCATTTGGATTAAAGAATGCAGGGGCGACCTATCAGAGGGCCATGGTGACGTTGTTTCATGACATGATGCATAAAGAAATTGAAGTCTATGTCGATGATATGATTGTCAAAGCCAAGACGGAGGAGGAACATGTCGAGAATTTGAGGAAGCTCTTTCAAAGATTAAAGAAGTGCCAACTAAAACTTAACCCAAATAAGTGTACTTTTGGGGTGACATCGGGAAAACTGTTGGGATTCGTAGTGAGTCGAAAGGGAATCGAAATAGATCCCGATAAAGTAAAAGCCATTCAAGATTTGCCAGCCCCAAGAACACAGAAAGAGGTTCGAGGATTTTTGGGGAGATTAAATTACATCGCGCGGTTTATCTCGCAGCTGACCGAAAGATGTGATCCCATATTCCGCCTTCTTCGTAAGAATGATTCAGGAGAATGGAGTGAAGATTGCCGAGAGGCTTTTGAGGCAGTAAAGAGATATCTTTCGAATACTCCGATCCTAGCGCCACCTATCCCAGGAAAGCCTTTAATTCTTTACTTGTCCGTTTATGACAATTCAATGGGATGTGTGTTGGGGCAACATGATCAAACTGAGAAGAGGGAGAGGGCTATCTACTATCTCAGTAAGAAGTTCACTGAGTGTGAGGCCAGATACTCACCAATTGAAAAATTGTGTTGCGCTTTAGTGTGGGCTACCAGAAGACTTAGACAGTATATGTTGTATCATACTACCTGGCTCATATCTAAGCTGGACCCTTTAAAGTATCTGATGGGGGTACCTGCATTGTCTGGAAGGTTAGCCCGTTGGCAAATCCTGTTGTCCGAATTTGATATCCAGTATGTAAGCCAGAAAGCAGTTAAAGGGAGCGCCATAGCAGAATTCATTGCGAGTAGGGCTTCAGAAGAATATGAACAGTTGAATTTCGATTTCCCGGATGAGGATTTAATGGCTATCT